ATATGTAAATGATAGTGAAAATTAACACCCTAAGCAAAGCTCCATTGTTTCAGAGTAGTAGTTCTAGCTGTATAGGCGTTCACTGAGATACATGGCCTTTAGGACTCGGCAAGTGTTCATTTGAGCGGCTACTTACTCTATGTGTGTGATGGTTTTATTTGTAAGTTTGTTACAATACAGTGATTTTTAAAATAATAATAGCCAACTAAATCAGTACAACAGAAAAAGAACTTAGACATCACTTCACACTTATGTTGTGTTCTGATTTCTCATAAATATGCTAAGAACAATGCAAATGGGAAAGGAATTATTTTTAACCAGTAGAGACTGAGCAGCTGTATATGCATATGGAATACAGTTGAACCTCCTGGATTCATCATTCATGTATCTATACATGTACATATACATGCATGCATGAATACTTACATACATATACAAGTTCAAAATGGAAAAAAAAGTCAAAAATCCAAAAGAAAGAAGACTTGTACAAGTTGGCGACAGGCAAAAATTACTTAGGCCATAGAAAATAATAGCCAAGAAAAACCAAGTTAATAAATTAGACTTAATTAAACCTAAAAACATCAAAAGGCAAGAGTAAGAAAATAAAAAAACAAACCACAGGCTTCAAAAAGCAGTTACAATGCATATAAAAAAAATCTTCAATGCAGTATTTTTTAAAGACATCTAAGTTGGAAGGTGTTAAAAGATTTGAATAGATTGTTTACAAAATGTACAAAAGGCGAAAATACAGTATCGTTAGCAATCATGGTAAGGCAGATTCAATGAAGACATTCCTACACATCCTTCAGAATACCTTGGACTAAAAAGCTTGCCACCCAGGTGGGATCTAGACAGGACAACTGCATGAAGCCACTGGAACTCAGACTTTTGGAAGTATAAAATTGTATGTCCATATTGGAAAAAGATGCCATTATTTCTGAAAGCAGTTGAACCTCTGCCTACAATGTAACTCAGAAAGTCCACTCTTGGGTATCTGCCAAAAAGAAGTGAAGCCATATTTCCACAAAAAGTTTAGGAATCCTTAGAGAAACTATAAGGGCAGAAATGCACATGAACAAGCTGTTATATAAGCAAACTGATGTAATTGTACAGTGGAGTTAATATAATTAACTGTCCCAGTTTGCCTGGAGCTCTCAAGAAAATGGATCTTTCACATACTAAACCAGGAAAAGCCAGGGCAAAGCATGAAGACTTGCTCACCCTCAGCAATGCCACTGTGACATGTAAATTTAGTGAAACCAGCAAACAAGTCCATATTCTTTGATTCTGCTTACACAAAGCTCTAGAAGAGGCAGAGCCAGTTGAAAACACAAGAATGAAAGTGTTTATATCTGGGGATTGGCTGTGTGGGAAGTGAGGATTGATGGTGGTGGTCTGTATCTTGGTAGAATGTTAGCCTGCACAGTGGTTGCAGTTTTTAAAAACTTTTTCAGTTTTTAATCCTGTGCTTTGCAAGATAACTCTTATTTGTTTTCTAAATCACTGGTTTTCTTCTATTGTTTTATATCATTGGTTTGTCTATAAGTTGTTTTATTAATTACTTCATTGTTACTGCTTCTTTGCCATTTTCTCCCTTGGAAATAACCTTACACTATTGGTTTAAGCAGAGTTAGCCTATTTTATTCAAGCAATTATTTTATTTCACAAAGTGTTCTCTCTCTCTCTTTCTGGTGTGTGTGCATGTGTGACCATGCATTTTAGTGGCTAATTTAAGTAATTCTTACAGCATTCTGTTTTCTTCTTAACATTCTTTTCTTCAATTATATGGTTTCTTTAAAATCTAATCCAAAGTCACCTACTCAGGAGACTAAGATGGAATTTACTGGAGTTCAGAAAGTGCAAGAACAGCTAGACAGCATAGTGAGACATTTTCTTACAATTGTTTTAAACAATTAAGGATTGATTATAGGTTGATGTTTTCATTAAGTTGGAGGGCTCAAAAAATTAAAATGCATATTACTGAAGATTTTAATCTTTAAGTTTTTCAAACTTAATCTTTTCATCTATTATCAAACAGATGTTTTATTATAATTGTACTGGGTTAATTAAAAGAATAAACTCTACTGTCAACATCTTTCCACATATCTTTTTTTTCTTTTTAGTTTTTTCTTTTCAGATGCCTCCAATATGTGTTGTTCTTATGAGGAAGTCAGTTACAATAATGATTCTCAGCGCGGCCAGAACCAGTCTATTTTTATAACAAACTCCGTTTTAATCTTTTATGTTTATTTCTTTTGTGTGTGCACATGCACACACATGTATGAAGTCACAGGACAAGTTGGGGAAGTCAGTTCTTTCCTTCAATCGTGTGGGTCCTGGGTATCAAACCTAGGACTTCAGGATTGGAACAAGCACATTTATCTGGTGCACCATCTCACTGATCATAGTAATGAGTATTTTAATAACTGTCATCTATCCTGAAATTAATACATTTTAACCTACAGTACAAGTAAAATTTAATATAGTTACCATAATTAAAATATAAAGTGGAAATTAATGAAAGAAGTTAACAATTATGTCAAAATGTAATTTGGAAAGCATGCTATAATCAGATATTTGTCTGAAGACATAAGAATAATGCATGGGCAGCTGCAGGTGCGGAGTTTTTTTTTCTATCAGTCACATACAACAGTCAGTATTGGCATTAGTACTGTGATTTTGTGAAATATTTGAATTCTTGATAAAATTTTGAAAAAGAAAACAAATACAAGTTTTATGTAATTACCCTAATTATAATAGGAGGGGTTTTATACATTATATGTACTTCTGGAAATTTAAATTATCCAAACTTTTTAGATAATCCAAATTTTATTTTTTATTTTATTTTTATTTTTATTTTTTGTTCTTCCAGGGCTGAGGACCAAACCCAGAGCCTTGGGCTTGCTAGGCAAGTGCTCAACCACTGAGCTAAATCCCCAACCCCCAAATTTTATTTTTTAAAATAGCCTTTATTACAATTTATGAATTTTGAGAAAGCACCTTTTTTAACCATACTCAATGATTAATAAACATATACAAATAATAACTCACTTCATAAACATAACAAGGTAAAAGATAACATCCATAGATCTTCATTCAACTTCAAAGAAGTGATATCGTCCTCTGGTCATTGGTTTCGTGAAAGCTGTCTTAATCATCCAAATGTGGAACTTCATTCTTCCACCAAGATCCAAGAAGAAAAATTAGATAACCCAACAAGGGAACAAGTGTTAGCGTCTAACATCCTAATTGGATCCCTGAATTCTGCACTTGAGATAACAGTGGAGTGTTTACACAAAGTGAAATCCTTCTCTTCTGCTTTTTTTTGGGGGGGGGGGGTAGGGGAGAGGTTAAATTTAAACTTTCTTTTAACAGAGCATAATATTGAGACATAACCCCTACTATCTAAAATCATTGGTTCTTATGAGATTGAACATTAAATGTGAGAATATATGTCCCAATGCCACAGAGTTAAGAAATTAACTGAACTCAAAGAAGCCAGGCAGGGTTCTGCTCACAGAGCAGCCAGTGTGGAGACTTCACTGAGCTGGAGTTGCAGCTCATCCTTGAGCTGTATTTTTCTAATTTTGACATGGAGTCAGAATTCTGACAGTCTACAAACAATCCTACATCAGGTTAATTCTGTTTCCTAGTTCACAAAACAGTGCCATATTGCTAGGGCTATATGGCATTCTTTAAGCATTAAATGGGTGTTATGCTTAGCTATAATTCCCTATTCTAGGGAGCTGCTCATCAATACTCATGATCATGGACCAACACAAAAATCACAAGGAGCCCTCCCAGCAGGGCAGGAGTTTCGTGGCTTCAGATCACAGTGAAACATGAAACAGTCTACCAAACATGTCAATGAAAAAATGGAGTTTAATTCTGGCCAAATAATTCTGTTTTTTTTTGGAATGTCATAAAGGGCAAAGGACAGCTCTCCTGTGGGAGTACTCCCCTGTGACTTGCAGGTCATTTAACAACCCTGGACATTGTCTGCTAACTGTTGTAACTGTCCCTTAATCTAGTGACAATTGAACACAAACTTTCAAATTATTGTATTGAGTGTTTACTTGGATCAGTCTCTTCAGTCTCTTTGGCAATGGCATCCTTATAATAATGTTTTTAACTCACAGATAAAATATATAGAATTACAAAGGAAACCAATTGTATTAAGATAAAGACCCCAGATTGAGTCCTTGCAAACAATATCATAATCCTCTTCTTTGTACTCAATACAGTTGAAAACCAGGACATTATGGGACTTTCAATCTCTGGAGAAAGGATAATAGCCAAATTTTAGACTGTTAACACTTTTTTTCACTTTTGGTTTTGGTTTTTCGAGACAGGGTTTCTCTGTGTAATAGCCCTGGGTGTCCTGGATTCCCTTTGTAGATCAGGCTGGCCTTGAACTGACAAAGATCCACCTGTCTCTGCCTCCTGAGTGCTGGGATTAAAGGTGTGTGCGCCATCATGCCTAGCTGACACACATTTGAAAGTACAATCAAATAACCTGGATTATTTTGTCAGCAGCAAAATATCACTCAGAAGACTATCATTCATTTCCCAATAAAATGGAGTAAATATGCAAGGAACTGAGTTGCTGTTCTTGCTTTGTATCAGAAGAAAAAAAGTGTATCAAATGGAAGGGTTTTCTCCTTCCCACTTTGGTCAGACTACACCGATTAGAATCAATAATGACTCAGATCTTAGTCCAGTTTGTCTACTTATGTTTTACCACAGGAATAAGGAAACGTTGGCAAAACAAAGCCTTCCTCTGGCTGCCATTTGGCAAGTGGGCAAAGCATTTGCACATTTTAAACTCAGTTTGTCATTCTAGGAACAGGAATTACAGGCAGAAAAATCAAGTTTACTTGAGCAGGTATCCACTCAGCTTTCTAGGGGAGGCTTTGTTGGAGGTGACTGTGCTGTATGCAGATGGCTCACTCACCATGGCAAACATGCTGAAATCATGCCTGCGCTTTTCATTTCTATAGGGTATGTCTCTGTGCCAGACTGTGGTCGTTGGCTCTGTAGTCATCCTTCTCTACTCTTCCAGAGCTTGTTATAACTTGGTAGTGATCACCATATCACAGGATACACTAGAGAGCCCATTTAACTATGGCTGGGATAATCTATCACATAAGGTAAGTGACTGTCACACATTACCAGTCTGCAGTTAATACAGATGACAACTGAGTTAGTCTTGGCAAGGACATTTGGTGTTTAACTCAGACATGGATTTATGCAATCTCTGCTTTCAGTAACTCTGTTTAAAACTGCTTAAAATTTTCTGTTTGCATGTCACACCTTGAAATAATTCTTCAGAAAGGTTTATCAAAGACATAATTCATTTTGTAAATAATAATAGTGCTAGAAACCTGTTAGTCATATCCCAGTTACCAACCTTTAAAAGGATGATATTTTAATATCTGTAGGTAATTGTCTGTCATTAGCAAGTGAATATATAGCTAATGAACTGTGAGGATGAAAGAACAACATAAAATCTTAATACTTTGTTCAGTTTTGCTAAATAATTACTTTCTTTAAAATTTGTTTTTATCAGCCTTGCAAAGTGAAGGCTGTTAAAAGTGCCTTATGTATCCAGGTGTTTGCTATAGTTCATAGCATTATATACTTATTTACCCTCTCGGCATGTTCCATCCCCTGCCTAAACATACAGCTTGACAGTTGCATGCTTTATCTATGCATTATTTTCACTTGGCACTGAATTCCAGGCAATCTAGAAGACTACTTCACTCACTCACTAAGGAGACGTACTTTCCACGAGTGCTTCCACGTGGCAGATTCTCTTCACTTTTTCCCACTTCCCATCTCCCAGCCTCTGGTGGAATAGAAACAAATGCAGTGTGTAGATTAGCTCCAAAGCGTATTTTAAAATTCAGCCCTGCTGGTTTACCTAGAATGTCTTATTTCTCCACAGGCCTGACTCAGGGTACTACTGCATAGTGGGGCAGCTGGAACAGAAATACCTTAGAACTGACCCTCTTCAGACTAGGGTGATTCAAATAACATCATTCTATATTATCCAAGGACTAAATTCTATGCTAATGGATTGAAAAAAAGTTATTGTCTTATTGTTGTAAAAATTAGAAGTATTGTTTTGTTCCTTGCATTAAAAAATAATCATTACATAAGACGTCAGAAAATAGAGAGGAGCTCAGTGCTTTTGTGTTTATACTTGCTATGTGTTAACTCACCCAGCATGAAGCACTTGTGGCAGGTGATTGCTTAAATATAAAACCAGTGTGAAAATTACTCTGCCATGCTCTATGGACAGGCTCGGGGAGAAGATGGAAGTGGAGGAGACTACATCGTCTTTGGAATGGTCCTCTTTCTGTGGGAGCATGTACCAGCTTGGTCAGTGGTACTATTTTTCCGAGCACAGAGATTAAACCAGAATCTGGTAAGATATCATAACCCCCAGTGCCCAGTATCATTTTCTTAAAGCATGGATTATTTATCCTGAGATTCTGTTAGTCTCCTGCCTTCACCCAGTCCCTGATACTGCATCCACAGGCACCCGCTGGCATGATAGGCAGCCACAGCTATAGCTCCAGAGCCTTCCTTTTCGACAATCCAAGACGGTATGACAGTGATGACGACCTGCCACGACTGGGGAGCTCACGAGAAGGAAGGTAGCTGTAATTGGTCACTTATACTGAACGAGTATTGATATAGATTGAAATGAACAACTCTGAGCTTTAACCTGCCACTGAACAGGTGATTTGGCAGTACCTGTTAATAAATACGATTATGAAATACCGAACTTGATGCATTATATCTGAACTGTGTAGACATGCTTTATAAACTGTCAGCTAACCTGAAGCCTGCATACTACCCTTTCTTGAAAATTGTTGGAGTAAACAGGTGCCATATCATCTCAGAACCCTTCCTAGTTTCAGAGCCGGAGCACACACTCACTCTCATGCATGCTGATGAGCAAGAAAGGATTGCTGTGCACTATGCATCTGCTTCTCTGTTCCTAAAGCAATTTCACATCGACAAACAAGTCTCCCCACACCCTCCTGCGGCAAAACTGTTGTAAAGCCTTATATACCAACAGGACTCATTCAGCTTGGTTCATTTTTGGTAATTCTAGCTTCACCTGGACAAGACACTTAACCTGGTTTTCTTTCACACAGTGGCGGTTCTAACTCAGACTGTCTAATAGGTATGTATTGAAAACTAAAGGAGAACATTTATATACAGATGTACATACAGTACAGTACAGAAAACAGTACCGTCAGGCACATTTCTGCCTCTTGTGAAAGTCATGTATTTTTTTGTAATATGTTTAACAGATCAGAGGTACTAGTTAGAAGCCATTAAATTTTGTAGAAAGTTGATGTTAATTTGCACATTTATTTTAATGTTTCTGTGTTGGGAATTTCCTTGGAAATGTTTTTTAAAATGCCGAGTGTGCCATCTTCTGCTCACAGCCCTATAACTTCTTTGTCTTATTTCTTTGTTGTTGCAGTTTATCAAACTCACAAAGTTTGGGCTGGTACGGCACCATGGCTGGGTGTGGCGGCGATACGTACACAGTCACCCCTCCACTGAATGGACCTGTGACAGACACTGCTCCTTTGCTCTTCACATGCAGTAATTTAGATATGAGGAATCACCATAGCTTATATATAACTCCACAAAACTGATGACTTTCCCATGGCAGGAGTCTTGAACTGCTTCTAATGAATGTGTTTGTGTTGTCAACATCTTAAAAACCATCTGCATCAACATTGCATCATCTCTTGCAACTAACAGAAATCTGGAAATACAGCTGTGTTTTGTGGTTCTCCATGAAACACAGCTGTTTGTTTTGACCTCCGCATAGTGAAATTCGAAGTTTGGAGGAGAGAGATTAGATGCTAAGGTACTTGACCTCAGAACCTCCTAACTTTGGAACATCTAACGCACATTTGCATATTTGCACTTTGACCTGTATTCAGAAAGAATACTTTGCAGTCCCCAAAGCCACACTAGAGTATTGACACCAGAATATTATTGTATACAAAATCAGAAAGCAGTTTTCCACAAAAAATCAAAACCTAGAAATTTGATGGTGTGCTCTACATAGAATCTCAATTACAGCTTTAGAAGTGTGATCAGTGCACAGAGTTAAGGCTAAAAAAAATGTATCATTCTTTTTAAAAATCTAAAAACATGTAACTGAAGACAGTTTTTTAAAGCATCCTTTGAAAAATGTCAGTTGAAATTACTCCATTATTTTTAAAAAGGGATAGTAGAAACCCTTATGGTGCTGCTGGCTGGCAGTGTTCTTTGGAAAACCAGAGAAGTCTCTTCAAGAACAACAGTGAGCCAGTGGAGACTGTGTGGCTTGAGTAGGACTGGTCAGATGGCTATTTTGTGCAACTAAGGTAAGTAGCAGTTTAAGATGATTCTTCCCAGAAACAATAGTGACCTCGTAGGGGGCTTCGGTAGAACATCTTGGGATTAAACAAGTTTACAGATGTGTTTAGGGAGTGTTCATTAAAAAAAAAAAAAAAAAGTGCTAAGTTAAAACAGCATGTTTTCAAAAAGCACCCAATTTATCAGAAAGGAAATGAAGCTCATCCTACCTACTGAGTCAAGACTGTCCTCAGGTAAATTAAAGTAAGACATTTTGCAGTGAGCTGAAGTGCAATACTTTATAAGATGTAAATTCCACATTTATTTTTCACATTTTATACCTTGTATAAATTTGGCCTAAGCCAAATTAAATTAATTCCAAGCAACTCAAGCATTGGATTAATAAGCAAACAAGAGAAATGTAAGAGGTTAACAACATTGGAATATTTTAGGATTTCATTAAAACTGTCTTAAATATGCTACTATAAGCCGTGTGCCTATGCATGCTCGTGTTCACGCGGGGACGGACACACACACAGTAGTAAGCCAAGACAACACAGAATTTAAGAATGCACTTTCTCCCTGTGTCTATATGAAAAGCAGATGCTGAATACCTCAGCTCCCGAGTGGACAGGCAGCTTACGAGGTATACACACAGGTAAAGACCCTCACACAGGATCTGCCAACTGCTTTGGAACTGGGATGAACACAGCTGCCCTCTCCATACTGTGACTAGAAAGTGTCTTATTTGTACTCATACCTAAAAGATCTTTCAGCTTTTTAATGAATAATGCAGCAACTTCACAAAAGTATATGTGAATCTTTAAAAATACATTGTTAATCTTTTTCATCTTTTGAGAGGATGGTACAACCAAATACTTTTCTTTTTATGAACAACTGATTTTAAATTCAGTCAAAAGCATATTGAATATTAACGGCATTTGTTTATAAGTTCTTATTGTAACAGATCATTTGAACTTTTATAGTACAGAAGCTAGCCTCGGTACTAAGATGACAACCTATCAATAGTCTACAACCGTGGATTTCTTTTAAGTTATCGATTTTTCAGAATGCCAGTTGGTTATTTTTATGTTAGGTATCTGACTCTATTGTCTTTGTTAATCTCTGGGTTCAAGATATTTTTTTCCTAGTTAAGCCTCTCTACACAAATCTCCTGGTTCACAAAGTAAGCCAAGATCACATAAACTCTTCAAATAAAGTATTTTAGTTCTTCTAGCTGCACCGGTTGACTATACTAAATTTGAGATTTGTTAGTTCATTATATTTATCATCAACTCAAGCACTTAAGGTTTTTTTGGTTTTGGTTTTAAACAGGATGTCTCTTTGTAACTCTGGCTACCTGGACCTGGCTTTGTAGACCAGGCTAACCTCAAACTCTGAGATTGTCCTGCCTCTGCCCCCTGAGTGCTGGATTTAAAGGTTTGCACCACTACACCTGGCCTGTAAAGTACCTAAATTCGTACATTTGTCTCCTTATATACATCTCACAGTACATCACCAAAGAAGAAATCTGCCCGTGTTTGCTTAAAATTTCAAAAGCACTAGCAGCACTTTAAGTTTGGTCTCAGAAGAAGCTGTTCATAGTCAAAGGGCTACAGTTCCCCGTCCTCCTGCACTGAAGCACATGACAATTCCAGCCCTTACAGTTGTTAATTAGAAAATATCAAATTTTATTGCTTAAGTGTATAATTCTACAGTGATTAGCAATATTTGTTGTCATTTCATTTTGGTTGCTATTAATTTTGAAACTCTTACTACTTACTGTAGCTGACTGTAGTTTTATGGACAATGTAATTTATAGCTAATGTGGCTTTTTAAATCATAATTGCCTTTTTATTGTTTAACAGTGTTTCTCAGCTATACAGTCAGTTTCAAACTGGTTGCAAAAGTATAGCTGTGGCCAATGAATGTATTTATTTGTTGTCTCACTAAATTAAAATAAAACACTACTGTAAAGAATGTGCTTTTATTTGGAGGTGTATTTTCTTCATGTCCCTTAATGGAATCTATTCAGTTTCTTTAAAAAATCTCATTACAAATGAATTTGCTTTTAATGAATAGTGAATTATATCTGGATCATAACACATATTTCAGCCAGTCTGAAATACAGTACCATGTTTTTAAATGGTATTTTAAATGTTATTAGGTAGACATTTAAATATTAAACTAAGAAAAAAAAATCTTCATGAAATAGTTTATAATGGTCTGCTTTCTCCTGAGAATCTTGAAGTTTGTCTAGTCTACAATCCCAGCTGGCCTCTCAAGTAACTCCTGTGGCAACTTCCCTTAGATGTTTTCCCACAGTGGACTCATTCATGACTGACCAAAGACCACACCAAATTTTAAATTATCTCCATCTTTATTGCCCCCCCTAAAGTCTACTGATCCTTCTGTGAAGCAAAGGCAGTGAAGGTACAGCTGTCACTGTGAAGCAATTTACTCAACTAACAAACATTTATTAGATACTCATATGCCAAACATGATACTATAGAGATACCAAAATGAACAGTTTCTTTTCCTGCCCCTAAGGAGCTCACATTCTAGTAAAGGACACTTTAAAAAATAAAACATACAGTACAGTAAGTGATTCCGTAGAGGTAGGTTGCAATTACAGTGGTGACCATAGGAAAGGGACGGGTACTTTCACAGATTTTCAAGAATACAGTAATTTCCCAGATGCGGAAGAAGCCTAGGGCTCTCAATGCAAATATGGTATCTACTAAGGTTTGAAGGGCAACCAACTGTGGACTTTTCCTTGGAAGACTTTTAACTCTCATCAGAACAGAATAGCAAAGACAAGAGGCAGCTCTTGGGTATCAAGCAAAGACTCTCACCAGAAAGCTCATAAAATTGCCAGCAGATATTAGGCTGACTGCTTCTAGACAGTCCAATATGGTAATGTAGACCAGCAAAGAGATGGGGAACTAGACTTCGGTAGTCCTTTGGGTGACAGTAATAAAAACTGAAAGAAGATGCTATATCAGAAACGTGAATGTAAAGTCAGCACAACTTAGACACCAATATTGATGCAGAATAGAGGAATGAACTGTAATGTAACTGCAATGGCTCTGAAATTAACCAAGGAAGGAACACAAACATAAGAGTAGGTTTGTGGAGACCAAGTCCTTGAAGATGCAGAAGTGACAGTCGGGCAGCCAAGTGAGCACAGGAGGAAAACAGACTGAGAAGTCTAAGCTAAAATAAAGTCACTTAATGGAAACCCCCCAAGGATGGGATCTACTGATTGACAGCCAGAAGGAAAATATCTGTGGAATGCTATTTGGTTAGATGCAAAGGGTAGAAGCTACCCAGGAGCAAGTCAAATGCAAGGACACAAAGGAAGAGGGACTTCAAGGAAAGGACTGTCAATAGTGTCAAGTATAGGAAAGGTTAAGATACTAAGATTTCTTAACAACTAAGAAATGGCTTGGTTAACTGTAGACTCAGAATTAAGAGGGACAGAAGACACAGAGCCACTCAAATGGGAAACGGCAAGTGAAAGCAAAGAGATTTTCAAAAGGGCTGGCTGCTAAATACCTTTATATGTGATGGTCACTTAGTACTTTAAGCCCCCAAGAAAACTGACCTAATTAGTGGGTTGATATTTTTCACTTACTACCCTATTCAAAAGAAAAAAAAAAATGAGAGGGAAAGAAAAATAGGACACATTTTTTAGCACAGTTATATCATCATTCACTTAAAGTATACTAAATGCATACATATTCCATCAACAAATATTAGACACCAACTGTATGCTTGGCACTGGATCAAGTCATAGGGACAGAAAAAATACACAGCAGTGTAAACTGACATTCCTAGCCATTACATATATAAATCCTGCTAGGATTATGTGACGTCTCAACTTGTTCTAATTTCTCAGATGACACATATCTATAATAAAGGGTGCATAATTTTGAGGTATACAGTATTTATAATTGCCATGTGATATAAATTCTTAAACCACTTCAAATATTGTTTCATTAGTGGAAGAGCTTCCACTAATGAAAATCTACCCAAGTTATAATTCCATTCTATGGAGGCAAAGGAAATGAGTTCCATGTATTAAAAAAAAGCATGAATTGTATACCCTATGATCAAGACAGGTCAAAAAAAGACAAAAAAACTTCAGATGACTGGGACATGGGACATTTCCTCATTTTAAGGCTTATAGTAGTTTAGCTTGGATTTGTAAGATTTGGGTTTTCCTTTAAAAATTTTTTTTTAGGAAATTACTGAGCATCACACTGAAGTATTTCAGGTTAAAGCATGATACCCATGACCAGTTTTCCAACAGTTAAATAAAAACAGGATATCTGTGTCTACATAGGAAATAAAGCAAGGCCTGAAGACACAGCTCAGAGATGCAGGCATCTAATGGGGTGAGGTGAGTGGTGAAAACACGTGAACAATCCATAAATCTGAGATTTTTTTTTTTTTTACTATTTTTGAAGCTTTTCTGTAAATATGAAATTATATAAAAATAAGAATTTCCCCCAAAAATTTACTATTAGGGGAAATATTATGAGAATAAATATATAATTTATTCATCTTTCAACAATGTCTAGAAATCTCCTGTGCCTTTGAATTGTTCTACTTCCCTACATAACCAAATCAGCACAATCAAAATAGCTACATAACTCTAAAAGGAATGTTTCATACCAGTGTACTTTAAGGTTTCCAGGAAAATTCAGGCCTCCCAGTTAAATCTGAACTTCAAACAAATAATTTTTAGTATAAATATGGCCCTAATACTGCATTTAACATACTTCTATTTAAAAGAAAACTAGTTCCTATCTAAAATTCAAATCTAAGTGGGCACTCTCTATTTTCTTTGCAAACAAGGCAAATGAAAAAGCACTGTTTTTAGGCAGATGACCACAGTTATTGGTGAGCCTCTTAGAATTTCACTGTCAAATACTTGTCCTCGTCACATTAGCTTTATTCTTATTGTATCTTCTTAAATGCAGCTTAGTTTGAGAGGCTTAAAACATCATTCACCTAGCTTTATCATGGGGGGAATCTGGGTTCTTACTTTTGCTTAGTATTAAAATCTATACATTACCAAAATACATTTATATTAACAATAATATTAAACGTGAACACAGCTTTTAAAAATGTCATTTACTTAAAACAATGTATTTCTTTCTTTCTTTTTTACAAAAGCAGCTTTATATAAACATTTGGCTTAAGACGGTCACTGCAATCTTGATCGTCACAGAACCCGCCCTTGGGCCTCCCCCTGTGCAGAAACAGGAACTTTTCACCTTCTCAGTGAACATTCTGTAGCAAGTGCCTGAAGTTCTCTAATTCTCTCACACTTGTAGAAATCCTGTAATCAAGAAACACGTCACTTAAAAAGTCTTCCATTACTTTTCTGTTAAGCACTCTGCATTTTTAGAGTACACAAAAATTGTGAAGTTTATTTCAACAAATTGAAAGGTACATAAATCTATTATATCCTTTAGGTTTTAATCTGGCAAGGCAAACCTAATATTAGACAAACACAAACTAATTTTTAATACTGACATATTAAAGTATATACATGTGGGTGACAGAGATGGCTCAGAGGTTAAAGAGCACCGGCTGCTCTTCCAGAGGTCCTGAGTTCAACTCCCAGCAACCACATGGTGGCTCATGACCATCTATAATGAGATCTGGTGCCCTATTATGGCCTGCTCACACACATGCAGGCAGAACACTGTATACATAATCTTTAAAAGATAGATAGATAGATAGATAGATAGATAGATAGATAGATAGATAGATAGACAGACAGATGTAAATGCACACATACATCCAGAGCTATATTAAAGTATTTAAAGCACATCAGTATTTAGTATAAAATACATAAGGGCAAAATAATATTTTAGGTATTCATAAATATACTCATTATTTGTATTATATACATATTATAAAATACAAAAATGTATGGGACTCTGCAAGGGCCCCATAGGCCCAGGTTTTTTTGGCTCTGTTGTTCTCCTTGTGGAGCTCCTGTCCCCTCCAGGTCTTTCTATCGCCCTCTTCTTCCATAAGCTTTCTGGCGCTCTGCCCAAAGTTTGGCTGTGAGTCCCAGTATCTCCTTCAATACCCTGATGGGTAGAGAGTCAGTCTTTCAGAGGTTCCCTGTGGAAGGCTCCTGTCCTGTTCTTTGTCTTCTCCTACTTCCAATGTCTACCCTGTTTGCCCTTCTGGGTAAGGTTTCAGCCTCTTCCCTAAGGGCTTCCTTGTTGTTTAGCTTCTTTAGAACTACAGATTTTGGTATGTTTATCCTATATTATATGGCTAATATCCAAACTAGACGCCCTGCTCAGAGGAAGCCCATAAACGGCTCAATTCCTAAGTGGGTTCCCTAGTAAGGGGGGCAGAGTTCTCTGACATGAACTCAGTGGCCAGCTCTTTGATCACCTCCCCATGGGGGGTGCAGTCTTGCTAGGCCACAGAGGAAGATGATGCAGCCAGTCCTGATGAGATCTGATAGGCTATGGTCAGATGGAAGGGGAGGAGGTCCTCCCCTATCAGGAAACTAGGGAAAAGGGCATAGGGGGAGAAGAGGGAGGGAGGTAGGGTAAGAATAGGAGGAGACAAAGGAAGGGGCTACAGCAGGCATACAAAGTGAATAAATTGTAATAAATAAATATTTTAAAAATGCAGAAATGTAGAAATATTAAAATAAGTACTTTAAATATCCACAAGTATAAGGATATAATAAGTAATAAACCTTTCTTCAGTACTAAATGATCAAAGTAGAAAGATTAAAACTATTAATCTTTAAGAAGTAAGAAAAGTCAATTCTGACCCAATTTTTATATATAGTAAAATCTGTTCTGTAGTATATTTTTGCATGCTCTTTTTTTTTTTTTTTTTTCTTTTCTTTTTTGAGACAGGTTTTCTCTGGACTCATTTTGTAGATCAGGCTGGCCTCAAACTCACAGATCCTCCTGCCTCTGC